TATATTTATTATATAGTATATAGAAAGGCTGGAGAAAAGCTGCTCACCTCCTGACAACTGGGAAGCTCACAGAAGGGAGGAGCTGGGGACGAGAATACACCCTTCTAGCTCACACCCTAGTAATCATCAATCCCTATCTCCCAACAGCAGATTCAGCTATGAATCGGTGAATTAATCTGCTAATGAATATAGCACCCCATGAGCCAGTCTCCTTTCGGGAGCCCCATTCAGAATGCACGCAACTTTTGGGAGACATTTTAGATCTAACTACAACAGAAGGAAAGGACTGAAGTCTTAGGTTCAGAAAATTGTTTCTCAATGACCATATTTTTACAGTACTGATGTCGTGCTTGCTTCGGCAGCGCATATACTAAAATAGAGTACTGATGTCATAGGGTTAGTGTTTTTAAGTTCTCACCCCTTTTTTTCCTGTTTCCTCTGGAATTAAAGCAAAACTTAGTGAACCTTTATTAAGATCAAAGTTTATTTTGCTTAGTGGAGGGAAACAAGGCAAAGTTGGCCTTTAGGTGGGAAGTAAGCCTGCCATGATTTACACAGCAGACCAGAGCAAACCGTGACATCAGCAGATTATAACGTGTTTTGGTTTCTTCCCCAGGTTTCTTCTTGTTGCGGAAGGAAGTGAATGATGTAAGCAGCTGTTCAGGAAGCTGCACAAGGTCTCATAGATCTCGTCTCATTTCAAGAGTCACTTTTGAAGCTACTTGAAAAAAATGATATGACAGTTCCTGTCGAAAAGGATTTTGCAGAAACATAAAACATCTGTGAAGAAAGTGGCCCTTTTCCCCTTCTGTGAAGTAAAACATTCCAAAATACCAAAATGCCAGCCAAGACCCCAATCTATCTGAAAGCTGCCAACAACAAAAAAGGAAAGAAATTTAAACTGAGGGACATCTTGTCTCCCGATATGATCAGTCCACCCCTTGGGGACTTTCGCCACACCATTCACATTGGCAAAGAGGGCCAGCACGACGTCTTTGGAGACATATCCTTCCTTCAAGGGAACTATGAGCTATTGCCCGGAAACCAGGAGAAAGCTCGCTTGGGCCAGTTCCCCGCACATAACGAGTTCTTCCGGGCCAACAGCACCTCAGACTCCATGTTCACGGAAACGCCCTCCCCAGTGCTCAAAAATGCCATCTCCCTCCCGACCATTGGAGGGTCCCAAGCCCTCATGTTGCCCTTATTGTCACCAGTGACATTTAACTCCAAACAGGAATCCTTTAGGCCACCGAAGCTGCCCAGGCTGAGCTGTGAGCCTGTCATAGAGGAAAAAGCTCAGGAGAAAAGCAGTCTGTTGGAGAACGGGACCATCCACCAGGGCGACACCTCGTGGGGCTCCAGTGGCTCAGCATCTCAGTGCAGCCAGGGCAGGGACAGCCACTCCTCCAGCTTGTCTGAACAGTACACCGACTGGCCAGCCGAGGACATGTTTGACCATCCTGCCCCATGTGAGCTCAGGAAGGGAAAGACTAAATCCGAGGAGTCCCTCTCTGACCTGACAGGTTCTCTCCTCTCACTGCAGCTCGATCTTGGGCCCTCACTTTTGGATGAGGTGCTGAATGTCATGGATAAAAATAAATAACAGGATGCTCTTCCTTTGGGGCAAAAGGTACCAAAAGAAAATAAAATTAAATTTAAAAAAACAAAACAAAAACAAATGTCAACTAACCACAGTTGAAGAAAAGAGCTACCCTGGCTGTTTTGGGTTTTTTTTGTCTTTTTTTTTTTCAATCATAGGTTGCATTTTCTAAAATAATATTCCTATTCCCACAAAATATTTTTTTAACTGTTTGCAAAAACAACTTAGAAAAAAAAATAACAACAAAAATCCTGCCCTGGCAAAAAAGAGGAAATGAGTCAGAGCCCGTTTCCGGCAGGCACTGTTGATGTTCAGCTCACATTTTTTTTGTTTGCAGGCATGTAAGAAATCTCGCCTGGCCAGGATTAGCACTGGCCCGGAAGGGTTAGATGAGTCCTGCTAAGAATTTGACAGAACTCTGACATTTTTCTGAGCACGAGAAAGTCAAAATGTATTTAGCACCTAAGCCTCTTTTCTAGACTCTTTTGTACATTATATTGTTTGGGCTCACCATCACGAGTTCTACAGTGTTAAAAAACTTTTCCTGTGTTTTCACATTTGAGCAACTTTAATGGGTTTGGGGGATTTTCATGTAGTTCTTATGTATCTCATATAATATACTGTATCTATATTGCAAAATTTTGACTGTCAGCTACATGTTGGTAAGATACAAGCAAGGTATTACTGTAACTAAGTTATTTTTAAAGTTAAAATATATTTTTATGTGCCTTTGGCTTTTTATTGCAGAGTCTACATTTTATAGCTAACACATCAAATGTCATTTGACTTGTTTCCATAGGGGTTCCATTGCAAGCTATGGATGTGTGTGTTTGGAAAAGTGTAATCATACTTAGCTTTTTTTTCCTTTTCTTTTCATTTCTTCATCATCTGTCATCATACTTTCAACAGTAGCCAACAATGGATTGTAAAGTAGAAGGCACAGGATACTCTTCATGCTTCCGCAGAGACTGTGGGCTACGCCACATAATGTTTTTTGGAAATATGGGTATTTTAGTACAGTACATTTTGCATTACCTAGGTACTTCCTACCACACAATAAAGAGTAAATGTTAAAATGAACCTGCTCATTTATAGTAATAAACATGAACATAAGAAAATAAGAATACTTTCTTCATGACTGGCTAGAAAAATTGCCTCTCTGAAATGTACTTGACTGACCCTTTAAAATAAGGTAAGAAGTTACTTTCATCCATCATTTTATCCACTTTTTTATTTTACTTTATTTGTACCAGGGTGCTTGCGAGGCAGGCACAATGCCACTGAGCTAAATCCCCGGCCCCCTATTTTACTTTTTTAAGGTTTGAGAAACTAGAAGCAGGGGCCCTCGACGTGAGAGGAAATGAACTTGTGAAATCAGATTCTTTCGAAAATACTCACTTCTATAGGCACGTTTCTATGGGCTTTTCCCATACGTGGGAATACCCTCGACGGCATACCCTGCAGGCTCAGTCTCATCCTGTAGGAAGAAGGTTTGTCCATGGGATGAGACTCAAGAGGCTGCACAGAGGGCAGCAGAAAGCCCTTCCCTGCACCAAGGAGCTGGAGTTGTTGGTTTAGAAAACAGGAACAGGAACATACACAGCTTAATGCCTTTTTGCCAGCCACCCTCGCCCCTCACATAATATGTCATTCTCTCACACTTCTCTTTCTTCTTCGGCTGCATCCCTGAAACGACTTCTTCTCCCAGCCACCTCAGTGATTTCTGTTTTTTCCCCTGGTTTGAAGCTCTTGAACTTCTCCTATGTGATCATCTGAAATGACTAACCAGGTCGAAGAGGAAAGAGTTTCCCCTGCAGCACTGAACGTTTCTCTCGTTTCACAGTTGTGTCTTTACCCCACCCCACCACTTGCTGGTTTTCCTTTTCTGTTGCACTACGTCCTGCTCCCAGTTCCAGAGACTTCCAGCCTCTCCTGAATCTTATCAGTGGAGCTGCGTCCGATGAGTTCATCATTTTTAGACAGTGTTAATCAAGCCTTCGAACACTTTCCCCGACTTAATTGTCATGGGCCGTATCCAGTCTCACTGCACTCTTCATTACATGACCTCAAGGAAAAAATCAAGGAGGGGTGTGGACTGCATATTTTCTTTGCTGCCTCTCTGGGAACAGAGTGGGAACAGTTCTGCCAGTACCTTGTTTTTTTGGTTTTTTTCTGAAACATTCTCTCTGTGTAGTCAGTGGGGGGCCTGGAACATTTTAGGTAACCCAAGCTAGTCTTGAAATCACAATCCTCCTACCTCAGCCTTCCAAATTCTGGGCTTATAGGTATATCTATGATGCCTGGTTATAAATTATTTTATTGTATCGATTCTCCTATGACAGCCTTCTGATGCCTAGTCCCTTCTCCAGAGACTTTCTGTCCTGCAAAGAGGCACTTTAGAACACACCTCCCAAGAGCTGGATTGGTGTTCTCTTCAAACCCCTAACAGCCTCCTACTTATAACCTAATTTATCTTCATTTGTTTAAAGATAACAAGCTCAAGATGCACTTTATTTGCAGCCTGAAAGAGAACAGCAAGCTACCTGTGGCCCAACAACCAGAAAATAGGTTATACAGTTTGCATACGCAGAGACCCTCTTGTTAAAGCCAGCAAGATTCTTATGGGCGAACTTTTCGCTGGGTAGTGAAGCCTAGCAAAGGACAAGCTATATTTTTTCAGCCTAAAATTATCTACTTAAAAAGAGCAGAGTATCTGGAGTCCTTAGCTCTTCATAAATATAAAATTATTAATAATCACTTTTCAGTGAGCCAAGATCATTGTCAATAAGCACACAAAAAGCTGGGCATGGTGGTGCATGCCTGTAATCCCAGCACTTGGGAGGCTGAGGCAGGAGGATCAATTAGAGTTTGAACCTGATCTACATAGTGCATTCCAGGGCAGTTTGAACTATATAGTGAAACTGTATCTCAAAACACCAAAAAAAAAGACATACAAAAGACTAAATTAGCTGAACAGAAGAGAGAGCCCAAGTGTTCAGAATCACAGCCTAGTCCTTTTTCATAACACTGCAAGCTATCTTTTGTTTCATTTTGTCTTCTTAGATCAGGCGCATTCAGGGTGGTATGACCATAGACACATTCTATTTTTCCTAAAGGCTTCCTTCAAACAATTGGAGTCATGGAATGGATGAAATCGATGAGTCATGAATTAACTTGATAAATATTTTAGAATAGATGAATGCATACATTAGGTGATAGTTCTAATCCTCTTTCTAATACAGAGCCTAGTAAGACTGAATCATTATACTTTGAAATATAACAACAGAACAAGTCAGCATGATCTTTTTCCAGTAAGAGTTTCTCCTTTGCAAATTATATTAGCAACCTATTCTCAGATACATTTCTTAGATTTTTAGAGTGAATCCCCCAGGTTATGAATAATTCATTTCTCTTTGGTCATTAAACCATTTAGATAAGATGTTGCCCTGTATCCCTACCTATACTGTTAGGCCAGATCCAGCAAATAAAAGAAAAATTTAAAATTTAAAAACCTTTGGGCCAGATGAGGAGATTTTGAGATTGACTACACGAGTTCCAAGAAAGCATAATATTCAAAACTTATTTATATACATTAACTTATTTACTGGCTAAGAAATGCATTTATTTTCTAAAGAAAAAGTGTCTCTCTGCTAGGTTTATAAACATGTTTCATCTGACTATATCTACGACATCATGTGATTTGGGTTTTTTGTTCATTTGTTTGTTTTTGAAACAGGTTCTCACTATGTGGTTGAGACTGACCTGGAACTCACCGTGTAGCCCAGGCTGGTCTCGAACTCACAGCCATCCTCCTGCCTCAGCCTCCCGAGTGCTGGGATCACAGGCGTGCACCACCACGCCTGGCTAACATGTGCTTTGTTCTGATGGTACACTATCTCATCCAGTGGGCTTTTCATCTGAGAATGTTTAATTTTCACCTTATTCTCAGAGCCTGGAATAGGCTAAATATTTCCTGCATGAGTTGTCAGGGAGTCATTCTGTGGTAAAATGCTACAAAGAACACCGTATAGAGGAATGGGAACTATTCTTTTATGAAGTGATGATAACAAGGAAATCTGTTTTACAGCTACTGTGCTGCATTCGTTATCTTCCATTTTTCCTTTCCGAAATCTGGAAGTGATGTCACTTCCACTGGCTTCCAGGGGAAGTCGATGACATTTATCCTTCCAAGGTCAGCCAAATTTTCTCCACGGAAAGCAGACTGACATGGACAATAGATACAAACATCTGCCCAGGTAAAAGCCCCGCAGCCTTGCACTAATATTCCAGATCCTCATGGCCTAGACAAAGATGTCTGTTGTACTTCAAATTGAGCACAGCAGAGTGAGCTGGGTATGATACTGACCACACCATCATTATTGGACAGTGTCACAAGCATGTGTATGATTTGTCACCATAAGCAAAAGAGCTTCGAGTTCTAGGAAGGGAGCTGTCAGGACAACTTCAGGAAAGAGAAGGACCAGAGTGGGTGCCTCAGGACTGGTATGACTTTAGGGAGGGGGACATTCTTGAGAAAATCATAAAAAAAACAAAACACCAGATGGGTTCTTATGCTAGTAGGGTTTTTACTCAAAACTGCCAGCCAGTCTGCAAACAAGGATTGGAGTGAAAAATGCTCACTTCCAAGCCTGAAAGATTAGATTCTCTCTTGAAAAAAGATTCAGTGGGAGAAGATAAGACTAAAGTCAGACCGAGGAACAGGTGATTCCCAGGGTTAAATGTTGATATAAAAGTAACACCTTATCTTGGGAAAGTTCATGCCCAGTCCTGCGTGCCTGCCTGTTCTGTGACCTAAAAACCACAGTAGGGACACTTCTAGTGAGGCAGCGTTCAGGAAAAGTCATTTCTTTGTTATTAGATTTTTTAGTTTATTGTTATGTAATGTTTCCATGCCTTGTGTGGAGTCTGTACGTGTGTATAGCACATCTTAATTTCTTTTTTCATCCCCTTTTCCTCCCCACCTTCCCTCTCCCCCATCCTTTAATCCCCTTCCTGTTTTTGTACGTTTGCAGTACACAATACTTACATTCCTTGTGTGGTAAATTTAGACCACAGAGCACTACTCTGCCATAAAGAAAGATAAACTTGAGTTGCAAGTAGGAAAATGGTTGCACCTGGAGACCATAAATGTCAAGTGAAATAAGACACAGAGTTAAATGTCATA